TTTATAATTATTAAATTAAATTATAAATTATAATTTAAAAATATTATCATAAATATCGATAAAACAATATTACATGTTGTTAATGTTACTACTTGTTAATCAAATCCACAAATAAAATTATCTTTATAATATTTATTAAGTTTTTTTCAAATAAAGTATAAATATCTAAATAGAAATATTAACCTAACTGTTTTGCAATGATCACAATAAAACACAAAAAATATGACAATATTCCAACCATAAAAATGTAAAAAATAAACTCCTTAAAAAATTATGAAACTTATGGCGTATCTAACACTTCATGAAACCTATGGCGTATCTAACACTTCATGATCATCTTCATCAAGCATATTTGAATCAACTTGTGGGAAGGTTGTCTTAACATCTTACATTTTCATATGCATTTATATGCGGTTTCAATTAGTTAATTATTAAAAAATAACTAAATTGAGAATTATAATATTTAAATGTACACAAAAATATATTACCAGTTTGAGAAAAACCATGTAACCAGTTTTGAGTAGCAACAAGTGTTTGGACATTTTCATGGTGGATGCAACTTCTATACTTAGTGATTTCCTAAAAAACTTTAAATAGATTTTGAGTTTAGATCTCTTTAATTTTAAATTTTAATATTATATTATATTTTTAATTAATTTGTATTAGCCCACGGACCGGCCCTACCTATATTTCTCAAGCCCCACAAATCAGCAGACTTATTCAGGCCGGGCTAAAAAGCCCTTTTTTTAAATGGGCTCCAAAATTTTTAGCCCATCCCTATTAAATCCCGAGTTAGGCCAGGCCGGCCCAACAGGCCTAGCCCATATTGACGACTCTAATGAATAGTGACAAAATACTGTATTTTTCATACTTTCACAAAGTTAGTTCTTGAAAAGAGCATTCAGTACTTTATATTATTTATTTATATTAAAGGTAGAGTAGTCACTACTATTTTTTTGAAAAATATTTTTTTTTAAAGATGGTAGTACTTTTTTTGTTTTTCCGTTTAAAATATATAATGAAAAAAAAAACAAGTGATATCTTTTACTAGTTATTGTACCTTTTTGTTTTATTATTTTGAAAGAGATAATGTATTACAATGATAGTTTCAATGTGTGACTACTTCTTTTATGGATTGTTATTAATGTATTTGTGAATACATTTTAGCTTATTGTTGTAACTTGGCTCTGATACCAATGTAAAATATATAAAGTAAAATCTAAGAGTTATGTATCTTGCAGGGGCAGACCTACAGTGGGTCAAGTGGGATCATATGAACCCACTTCATTGAAAAATAGCATCGTATATATATGTATATTTAATCAATTTTTAAAAATTTATATGTATATATTAACTTTTGACCCCACTAACACAAGTGTGACCCTTCGCCGTGTGGTGAAGAGGGTTCAATTTTTCCAGCCAACCCGAGTTCGAATTCTTATTGCCACATTTTAGTTTTAATTCATGTTTTTAATATATAAAATGTCCACACACTTTTGTCCGCTATCTAAGTTTAACTTTTGTCCTCTATCTAGGTTTAACTTTTATCCTTTTAGTTTCTTAGAAACTATAAAAAGTACAACATCCTTTTACTTTTACATTTAAAAGTCCAATAGTCAACAACTTTTATCCTTTTTGTTTTTAGTTTTTTTTTAAAAAAAAAAACTCAACTAAAAAGGTACTAATCCCTATTATTCTCAATTCTAAAAACTCTTTGTCTTCTTCTTTGTTGAACACTTCTTGAGCCTCTCTTGCTTTTCATCCCCAAAAATTTGAGCATATATTTTTATTGAAGGAAAAAGTCTCTCTCCGTCTCTCAAATCTCGCATCAATAGTCAATATTCATCAAGTTTGGTTTTTGCTCTGAAATATATATATATATATATATTCTGGTTATTTTTTATTTCTTCAACTAAAAAAAATTCCTATCATTCTAAAATCAATGAAAATTCACAAATAATATTAGGTATATTTCTATGTATTTGATTCTGAAATTAAGGTTATAATTGTTTTATTTAATATTTTGTTTTTATTTGTTAAATGTTGAATGAGAAGAAAATGAAATCATTCATAATATTTTTTTAATCTTCTTAGTTTATAATGATAAATTGAAATTTCATTTATTTAATAATGCTTTGTTTTATTACTTTCTAATTAGAATTTTAATTTGGTAATACATGTTGAGTATCAAATGAAGAGATTTTTCTCTCTTATATCCTCCAAGTTGCCACTATCAAGTTCATGAGCTCAAAATGCTCCACGAGTGTAAGAAAACTTGAACCAATTAGAAGAAACTCATCATTCTGCTAAAAGATCGAATTAAGGAGTAGATTTGAATTCTTTACCGGCACATCCAAAGTAAAGAATACACATTAGATAGATTATCATCCGGATAAACGTGATGAGATTAGAAGAGCATATATCCAAAGAGGTCCTTATCAACCTGAAATTTGTGAGTTTCCTCAAAGTGATATTTATGGATCAAAACGTCGTTTTAATCGCAAATGGTTTAAAAAATATCATGATTGGTTAGAGTATAGTGTGACTGAAAATGCAACTTATTGTTTGTGTGTTATTTATTTCAAGATGAAAGCGTTCATCCAGGTGGAGGTGAAGCATTTTCAAGTATAGGGTTCAAGAGTTGGCACAAAAAGAAAAGATTAGATACACATATTGGTAAGTCAAACAGTGCTCACAATCAGGCAAAGAAGAAGTGTGAAGATCTAATGCGACAAGAACAATCAATTCAAGCCGCATTTGTTAAGCTATCCAATCAAATCAAGCTTGAGCACAAAATTTGTTTAAAGGCTTCAATTGAAGTGGTGAGACTTCTCTTGAATCAAGGATTGACATTTCGTGGACATCGTAAAGACGAATCATCGCTAAACAAAGGTAACTTTCTTGAAATTCTTTCATGGTATGCGAAGCGGTGTGATAAAATTAGTGAACTTGTGTTGAAAAAGACTCCAAAAAATGACTAATTGACTTTTCATAAAATTCAAAAGGATACTGCATGTAAGCTTGAAACAATTAAAGCTATTATGGAGGATCTAAATGGTGACTATTTTGCATTGTAAGTTGACGAATCTTGTGATATATCACGTAAGGAGCAAATGACAATTGTTTTGCATTATGTTGATAGAGAGCGGTTCATAGGAATTATTCATGCTCATGATACTAGTGCTTTATGTTTGAAATAAGCTATTGTTAACTATCTTGCGCAACATTATTTGAGTTTATCTTTTATACGGGGGCATGCTATGATGGAGCTAGCAACATGCAAGGGCGTTTAAGTGACCTTAAAGTTTTGATTCAACAAGAAAGTAGATCAGCTCATGCAATTCATTGTTTTGCTCACCAACTTTAGTTAGCTCTTGTTGGGGTATCTAAAAAATGCCTTCAAGTTAGAGAACTTGTATTGTTGGTTTCTAATTTCTTAAATGTAGTGGGAGGTTATTTTAAACGTATGGATGAACTTCGAGAATCTCAAGCAAAAAGTGTTCAAGAGGCAGTTGATATGGGTGAAGTTGAAAGTGGTACGGGATTGAATCAAGAACTTGGTCTTGCTAGAGTTGTCAATACTCGGTGGGTTCACATTATAAATCTTTTAAGAACTTTTTTAGTATGTTTGGCTCTATTACTGATGTTCTTGATACTATTGTTGTTGATTTTGAATCTGTTGAAGAAAAAGTTAAGGCAACATAATATCTTAAAGTTTGTCAAACATTTGAGATTGCTTTCATATTGCATTTAATGTCATTGAAGGTTGTTTAAGCGGAGTTCGAAATTTCAAGATAGCTTTGCATATCGATTACAAGACAATTGAAATTTTAACTCTTAATTTGATTATTTTTCTTAAAAGCATCTCATATCTATTGCTTGACTGCATTTAAATTGTCTAATTAATATTAGTGGGCAATCGAAAGCTAGGTTGGATTGTTTTGAAGTATCTAGAGTTAACCATGAGGGTCTTAACATGTGATGTAAATTCCTGTTATGATTATATGATATAAACTATTTTTAGTGTTTAGCATACTTTATCAATTTTCATGCAAAACTCTAACTTTTTTAGAAAATACTCATAAAACATACTACTAAAAATCTGATATAAAGCGTGATGACGATTCTCACGAATTATAAATTTCAGATTCGTATAAGTATTATTATGGTTTACGATCCGAATTGATACATGTGCATCAAATCACAATGTCTTGTTCATGATCGAGAAAAGTCTAGGGCTCTATTCCCAATAAGGTTCTTAATAACCATATCTCAAATTGATCAAGAGTGTAACAAAGTTGTGGTAAAGAAGATTAGAAAAGAGAACAACCAAATGCTACTAAGATGAGATTCAATATGCTCAAGTTAATCGAGGAACCTCTATAGAAAAAAGAAATGTCTTAACAAACATAACTTATTTATTTGATGACGATATAAGTGTTCTATGATTGCATTTTGTTTATTTAATTATGATGTCATATGTCATTTCCTTATGAAAATTAGGCGGTTTAATTTTTCATTTTTGGTTCATTCTTATCGTTTGCTTCTCTTCTTTTTGTATTTTTTTTTTGTTAAATAAATTGTTTTGATTGAATTTTAAACGTATTAGGATAGACAATAAGACAAATATTAAAACTACTACATAAGCATGTCATGCTTTTAAAAATTACAAAAATCCCCAATTGGATCCATACCTATCCCCTCTCGGATACATTCCTCCCACTAATTAATGAATCTTTTGCAATGTATCGGACAACCAAGGAATTAATATAATGTATCTGAGAGCAATGACAAATCGAGATTTTTGTAATTGGGGAAACATCTGGGATATGATGTAATTAACCTCAAATGTATGAAATTTTTGTATTTTATACTTCAAAAAAATGATTTTTTCGACCCAATTAAATAATACTCCATTAAGAGCATCTTTGAATCAAACTAATAAAGACAAGGACATTTTTGAGATACATTATTAATGATAGAGAAATTTTTGGATCAAATGATTAACAAAGAGCAATTTATTCCATTTTTGCATATTTAAAAGCATTTTTGACGGTTTCGTAATTAAGAAGCAGCACATTTTCCCTTTCCAGTATACCAAACCGAATAAGAACATAATTTTGGGTAAAAGTAAGTAAACGAGTTGGTTAAATGTCAATCCAAGCATTTCCTGCTCAATACATTACAAGAACTGGTTAGTCCACATGCATTACTCTGACAAGTGGCATATAAAACGAAGAGTGGTCAATTAAATATTATTTATCAAAAAAATATATACAAAGAGTGGTTAGTTATAAAAAAAAGTACATACGAAGAGTAGACAATTGAATATTATTTGTCAAAAAAATAGCTTGTTAAATATCATTCGTCGAGAAAAATATATTAGTTATAAATTACTTCTTAAATATACTTACCGAAATTTATGACTTCACGATACATATAATAATTATGAACATCATAGGAAGAAGATTTAAATTTCAGTCACTTTGATTCTTCTAATCTTGTTTGATCACAAGCACATAAAATTGATGATTATTAATACGTGAAACTTAAGAGCACTAAGAACTTATAGCATCTGTCCACTTAAACATGTCATTATATTTCTATGACTTAAAAAAATATGTTATAAAGAATAAATTAAAAAGTTTAAAGTTAAATAATTTCAAAATATGAATGTTATTTATTTAAAAGACGAAAAAAAAGAGTGTCACATTAACGGCATATATATAAGAGTACAAGTTTCTGATGCCCTGATCATCTGACATCTTTTTCTTTCTTGGTGAGCCAAGGATTATGTACAATTTTTTTTTTAAAAAATAATTATTATTTAGAAAAAACAATGTAAGCAAATAAAGATTAATGGTCAATCAAATAAAAATGCAAAAACTAAAGAAATCAAGGAAGCAAATAAAAGAAAAGCCAACAAACCGTTTGACCAGGGTCCCATTAATCACCACCTTAAGAAACAATAGGACGTGGAATCTTTGATCAAAATAATAAGTAGCAAAACAAAAATCCAAAAAAAATCTGCCTACTCAACATGTCTATTTCCTTCCCTCAAATATTCAGATATTTTTTTTCAATTTTTTTTAAATCTCAATAAGTACTATTAAACTATTTATAAGATTTTCTAATTTTATTAATAGAAAGTTTAAGTATAATTTGTGTGAACTTAAAAGACTTTTCCATCTTATTCGATGTTGTTTTCTACTTTGTCTAATCCTTTTTGGATCTTCTTCTTTTAAAATATTAACATATATGAAAAGAGAGTACTCATTATCAGTGACGAAATCAGAAATTCTGTTAAAATGATCCAGATATAATATATATGTATGAAAAATAATTTTTGACGTATATAATTTTCTATATACATATATATAATATAATTTTTCGACAAAGAGTGTTCAACTGACCATCCTTCACTACATGTGGCTATGCCACTGTAATCATTATTCATGACATATAAATACTAGCAAGGTCAAAGAGATGGTTTGTGTAGAAAAGGAAATGAGGAAAACTTGCCTCTGCTTCAACTTCAATAGCTCATTTCTACTTCCTACTAAGAGCTTCAACTTCATGAACTCATTTCTGTTTTCAACTAAATGCAGTTTTCTTACTGTTAGAAATAAAGGTATAGTACACTCATTGAAAATTTTGATTTTTTTTTGTCACATCTTAAGGTTAATTTGATGGTTTGTAATGACAGGGAGTAGAAGTGGATTGGTGAATCTTTACAAGGATATGGAGGCTTGTGCAGGATACAATGATATACAAGTTATGTGGGAGATGATTCACTCCAATGTCAATGAAACCAAATGCAAGAAAAGGCCTTTTTTCTGGAGATTTTATAACAAAATTAGAGTTTAGTACATATAGAATGTGCTTGTTTCTTTCTCATAGGAATTGAGACCTTGGTAAGTATAAATTCGATACAAGTTTGCTTAGACATCATCGAGTTGTTTTGATTATGTCCTCTGTTCCATCACCGTGCAATGGATGGACGGTGAGGGCTCGTATTGACTATGGTAAGGTCTTTACTCATAGTTGGTGGAGTCATAAGTCATAACTAGAATGTCCTTTGTGTAGCTTGGTAAGGAACTTTTGAATTGTGGATACATGATCCACTCTGTACTTATAAGACCTATTGCTTTTGCAATTTGGGATCCTCATTTTCGTCCATATTTGGCTTCTTCTTAAGTTGTTCTTTTGTACATGGTCACACAGATGTTCAATTCCAACATATATATATTCCAAGTGGTGGACAAACTTGCTTCCCTTCGCCATTCGTTTGATCAATCCCAAAGCTTCAACTCTTTTAATTTGCTGATTTGCTTAGTTCTATTGAGATTTCAACCCCCTTGACGGCCCTTTTATATATTTCTATAGGTATAGGAGTTGTCGAGAGGTCTGTCAAATTAGGTCTTGGTCCAAACTCATTCCCCAAAAGCTAGCTTAAACAGAGAAGGATTGTGCAAGCCTTATAAGGACACCACCCTTCATTCTTCAACAAGGTCTTAACACCTTTTGTAAAGATTACATCTACTTAGCAATAAACTAGCAAACTTAGCTAGACGAGAGCTCTGGTTTTAATTCCTCATCAAACAACTTTTATTTCTTGAAAGCAAGCTGACATATTAATCTTCTAGGATCAAGCCTATACATGACTTGAATTTGAAGTAACATAAATATGTATTACATTATTGGACAACAACATATATAGTAAAGACTTACAATCTAAAGATAAAAGGAGCCTGAACTGGGGGACCTTCAAGCTGCACCATTATGTATATTAATGTAAAAGCATCTGATCAAAGTGCCACACTCCTGTAAGTAAAAAAGAAATATATTATTTTTAGTATATTAGGTAGGGATATTACTTAGTTAAGTCTAAAACAGTGTGAAATTTAGTTATTACTCACTCTGTTTCAATTTGTTTGGTTGGTTTTGACTTGACACGCAATTTAAGAAAATAAAAAGGACTTCTGAATCAAGTGTCATTCTTAAACCAAAGATATGTGAAATGTACCAAAATGTTCTTTAATCTTTTAGTCTGACAAATTAAAACAGGGGAATAGTAAGTTGGAGAGGATGAATCATACCATGTCCTTTTCCAACCCTCCTTAGCTGACTTACATATTCTGCAATTTTCTTAATAGCCTCAACCTGCCAAAATAAGAGCATAATAATGCACTCATTAGAAACTAAAGTGTAAGAATAAGCAAAGGATCCTTCATTGTTAACAATCCAATTTACCTGCTCGGCCAAAAATTCGCGTTCAACAAAATCTTGCATTTCGGAGTCATTGTTTCGATCAGCCACCTGTTGTTAATCAAGAATGAAGGTTAAGCATAAGCAAAGGATACCATTTAGGCAATTGGACACTTGAAATTATCTCTGATATGAAGAGAAAAGAAGACGTTTTTACGCTATGCAGGGTCAAAAGTTTCTCCTTTGTTAACTTCTCCAAGGACAATGCCAGTTCCATTGCTGCATCACAAACAGATAAGAGTTGATAATATTGACTTAAATTTGGATCATTTCTTAATTTGTGCGTGTCATTCTTGTGATGGAGTTATGATTATCTTTTCTGTATCGTTCCAATTTTATCGGATGTGTTTGAAGGGGCACATTATTGACTCAAAAAGTTATAATGCTCGTACAAGAATGCAAGAAAACTAACCATACAACGCGTCTCCCTTATCAACATGATCAAATTCAGAAGGAGGCATCATAATAGAATGTAGCTTCACTCTTCCTCCTCGGATGTTCTGTTATTCATAAGAAGCAAAAAAAATAAACTTCCGACCATTTATGTGACTATAAATCATTTCATTAACAGCAAAAGGGGAAGTGTAAATCTAAATTATTTGCAATTATAGAAATGCAACACTCTTTTTGAGATGTACTAAAACGGAAAATATGTCACATAAATTGAGACAGAGGGAGTATAGTGTGCTTTTCAAATTTTATGATTGTGCAAGGGGACCTGATAATGCATTAACTTCTCAGCATGTTCCTTTTCTTCTTCACTTGACTCCTTGAAGAATCTGATACAAAATTTCTCCATTAACATATGAACACTGAAAAATATGGAAAATATAGTACAAGGAGATTGACGATTTTCTAGTCATTACTTTGCGAGGCCTTTTAGAGCTACGTTGTCCCTGTCAAAGTAGGCGAACATGGCGTGGTATACATACGAAATGTTGTACTCCACACTGCAATCAAATACACAATGAACTCAATCAGCAAAACAATTTAACTTATATATATGTATAGAGAAAATATTTTTACGCCATCATTATATTTTAACTTGTTATAGCAGATAACTTGTCTTATTTTCTAGGTTACCAGTCTCACTTTCTATGAATAATTGTGCACAATTATCTTTCAGATGACCTTTTTCACTATCAGTGTATAAAAGTTAATCTTATATATATACCCATGATTTTCCTCTACCCCTTTTGGATCTATTTAATTTCTACTGTTTAGACAGAGTATATACATCCATGTCAGTACTAAAAGAAACAGGGGTTTCTGATTTGTGCGTCATCTTCTCTAAAAACTTAAAAATCTATTAAAGATAAACATATTTTTATTTACTTAACTATATGATTTCAACACGTTCATTCATGTGCGACTTAATTCTTTTCTTTCATGTGACAAACACCTAAAAATTCCTTTTGATTAAGGGTGGTAAACTAACAGTGACACTTGAACCCCAAGATCTTATCATGATATGTTGTGTGCCATCTCATCTAAATCTTAACTTGTGGAAAGATGAGATTTTATTTATTTGTTTTCAATAGTTTTTACTCTTACTATTTCAATTATATGTTTTACTTCTCGATCTTTTTAGTACAATAAAAATATCATTTTCTCTAATCGTAACTCTTTAATTATAATATCTCATGTAACATGTTTAAGCACACCAGATCTGAAAAACATTTTAATACGGTATACACATTTTTAGTATAAAACCACAAAATTTGAAGATTTTTCTTCTTATTTTCTGTAAACTTTGTCTCTAGTCAAACTATAACGAATAAATTAAAACGAACAAACACCAACAACCATAACATCTCTATAGCTAAAGCACTAGAAAGAAAAATGAAAAGAGGTAAAGAACTGACTTGATCTGCTCATTGATAGCACCTTCACATTCGTCGGCGTACCTCTGTCGAGCAAGTGAAGTGTGTGGTGTGATAGGAACCATAAATTCATCCTTGTTAACTTCATCAAATGGCTCAAACACCACACCAGTAAGTGAAACATCAGATGTTGCACAAAGTTTAAAGTATTGTTTCTTAGGAAAAACAACATTTGAAACAGAAGAAAAAGATAACGATGAAGTTTTCAATGGAGTCATAAGAGTAGTAGTAGCTGAAACTGCCATTATTTCAGAATTTAGAAAAACTAATAAGAAAGATGATAATTTTCAATATTGAGATTAGCATTGACAAGAGATAAGTATATAGAAAGGCTGATGAGAGTAATCAAGTAGAGTACGATTTATTTGAGCCGATGAGGGAGTGACACGTGGGATTTGTCGATTAGTCCAATTGTACGAGGCGTGTGGCAGGCTCGTGGCCCTAATAAAAAAAAGTTGAATACTTAGGGGTATCAAAATTGGAAAATTCTGGAATATATCGTTATCATCTTACGTGTTAATGACTCTTGTCCTAGATTGAATCCGGAACCTAAATAAGCCATAAAAAGATAAAAGTGATCAAAATAAGCCACTATTTTAGTAAGTAACTAAAATAGGCTTAGTGGAAGAAAAATTCCGTTTTATGAAATATTCCAAACGTTTTTCGTTAGTCTCATAACGGGTATATTTTAATATATAACAGAACTATTTCTTACACTTTGTAAAGTGTAAGTTTTTCTTACACTTTATAAAGTGGAAGAAAATTTTTTGTTTTACAAAGACGAATATTTTTCACGTTTTGCATTAAATTGTATCTCTTTATGAAGCTTTTGCAGTGTTTGTCATACAATTATATTGATTTGACATATCATAAAAACGGAAAAAATTACATTATGTATTTTTATTTTTTTATTCTGAAAACTCCTCCAAGCTTTGTTTAAGGAAAAAATTATTACATTATGTATCATAAGTGTTAACTTGATCTATGTAGTCATTTGGAACCCTCAAAAAGTCGGTCAACGATTCGTCACTATAGATAATCCACTCTCCAAAATTTACTTGTCCTTGTGACAAAAATGAAGTAGGATATTTTTCGACTATAATCAAATTATAATCAGTACTATTTATACTCATTCTTTTATAAATTGATGAAAGAAATTTATGATATCTGACATTAATTAAATATTTAGCATTGTGTTTGAAAAGACAATTATAATAAACGATATTTTCGTCATGTATAGTTTCGCCATCCCAATAAATCAAAACTCTAACTTTTGGTTTAGAAGACATTTTTTGTGATTGAAATGAAGAAAAATAGAAGACAAAAGATGTTGAAGGTACAATGTTTGAACGTCCTTAAATAGAGCTTGGAGGAGTTTTCAGAACAAAAAAATAAAAATACATAATGTAATAATTTTTTCCGTTTTAATGATATGTCAAAATCAATATAACTGTATGACAAACACAACAAAAGTTTCATAAAGAGAACGTGAAAAATATTTCTCTTTGTAAAACATAGTTTTTTCTTCCACTTTATAAAGTGTAAGAAAAGCTTACACTTTACAAAGTGTAAGTAATAGTTCCGTTTTACAAGGTGTAAAAAATAGTTCTGTTATGTATTAAAATATACACGTTATGAGACTAACGGAAATCGTTTGGAATATTGCATAAAATGGATTTTTTTTCTTCCACTAAGCCTATTTTAGTTACTTACTAAAATAGTGGCTTATTTTGGTCACTTTTATCTTTTTGTGACTTATTTAGATTTCGGACTCTCCTAGATTGAAGTATTAGACTTTTGTTTTTCCAGGCTGTTTGATCACAAATATATTTGATTTTTTTTAAATTAATGTTTTGCTATATAATTTATTATTATTTAGCAAATACATATTTGACAAATATCTCAAATTTATATATTTTGTACGATTTTTATCTGAGTATGCTCTTCGATGTCACTTCTAATTACAAGTAGTAATAGTAGTATTTTTGGGTACAAATCAATGGTATTTTCATTTTGTTTATAATTTCCTCTTTTTTCAAATTCATATTAATTATGTACGTTGTCATGACTTTTTACCAAACATTTTCATTATAAAATGATAATACAGACTTATGAGTATTTTTATTAATTTTTAGAACTTATGAATATAAATAATATTTTTTTTAAAGTCAAGTATTTCTCCCAGAATCTATGGACAAACACATATATAGTGAAATTTCACCCCAAAAATGACTTGTAGAAAATATTTGAAAATTTGTTGCCAAATCCTAACTTATTTTCGTTTTTTTTCCTTTCTAACTTATTAAACTTAGTAAAAAATCTCTATAATTAGATTTTATTATAATAATTATGATTTAAGTGAAATTGATTTTTATAGGGGAACTTTTACATATCGCCACTCAAAAATTACTTAATTACACTCCATAGTTATAGTTTGCTAATTATGATTTGTAGCTACATGTTATAGGGAGGAGAATGGTGAGTGAGATTGGGAGAGGGAGGAGAGAGGGCAGAGAGTGGAAGAGAGGTGAAATGCATATGTATATCGGTTAGATAATTGTATATATATAACGGGTATACATATGTATTTGTATATCTGGCGAGCGAGATTGGGAGAGGGAGGAGATTGGAGAAAGGCGAGAGAGATTGGGAGAGGGAGAAGAGAAGAGAGCGAGAGAGGGCAATAATTTGCATAATTAGTATCTCGTTGGTATAATTCGCATGGTTTTGTATAATTGAGTAATACAAAGTCTGCATTATACAAATATGATAAAACTCGAAATAATGAATCGATACAAACATAAACATATGAACTTTAAACAATTATACAATTTATATTCTACAAATTACATTATACAAATTATATTATACAAAATCTGAAAACTACACATTTATACAAACTTAAAAAAGTTATACAAAAAAAGATTGAATGTATATGGTAATAAAATTGAAAAACCAAAGGAAATCATTGTCATATACAAATACAAATCAATCGAAGAATTGTTAGTTGCGAATTATACAAACGTGGTTAATTATACAAATTCAAAGTCAACCCATGTAATTAATGGTTAAAGTTAGTCACGAGTGATAATTATAACAAACTAAAGCTATGATAACTAATTAAGTAGAATAAGTTTGCTTAACCGCGTAATTCTCTTTATTATATTATATTATATAATCACATGTTTTTAATAATATAATATTTTGCTAAAGCAACTAAAAAGTAACGAAACAAACGATGCTATTATAAACTTTTTTTACTGTATACTATGCTTATTTATCTTTACCACTAACATCAATTCATGTTGTCCTATTTTCGTCGTTTGAATGTATGAGTGATGTAAAATGATTTTAATAAAATCATATAACTTTGAATGTACGTACGAGTGTTTCCACACATTAATTATGAATTATGCGCTCTATTATTTTATAATGCCACCTAATTCACTGAGAACCAGCCTCTTTCGTTGTTTAACAAGAAGTAAAGCATGAAATGTAATAAATGTTGCAATTTCTGTGTACACGCGAGGCGAATCCAGGATTTCAAGAAAACGGGTGCACCATTGCTTTAGAATTTTTTTTTTTTTTGAAAAAACGAGTGTTACTAGTTACTAAAAAAATTTGAAGTGAATTGTGGCTGGCTGGGATTGAACTCAGGACCTTGGTGTTAAAATCTGGCTGTTAAACCAGTGAACCATCTAGCAACTTTAAAAACGGGTTCAACAAGTGTTTATTTAATATGTTCTTTAATAATTATACAAGTAATATATCGAGTTTAGTCGGAGGACCACGGGTTCGGATGACCCAAATTTTATACATAAATTCGCCACTGCACGCAAGTATATGTAGTTGCCGAGTAATATAACAATTTCTTTGCAATTTTTGAAGCTCGAATTTCACAAATCTTACTACTGATAATTATTCGATGGAATATATTATACTTAAGAGAACAAGTGTTTTTCACAAAAGAGTTGGTTGTTATAATTTTGTTTATTTCTAATTTATGACTTTATAAATACAAAGTGATCAAATTTAATTGGTTTAAATTCATAGAGGATATAGATTCCAGGGTTATGACACTTTTCGTAGTCACATCATGTCTACACCTTAGTAATTGTCATGCTAATTACTATCAAATTATTAATTCACGGAGTTAATAGTATAATCATGGTCCTTCGAGAGTTAATGATATGTTAACTAATTCTAATTCATTTTCATCTCTTGTATGGGAATCAAAAACTAGCTAGGTATATTTGATCTATCCTATCTGCAAATTCATCCCGTAGAACGTATCCTTCTCGATTTAACACGACATGTTAATACATCACGATGTTATCAAACGACTTTTTGGTTGAATGGACTAGGATTGAGATTGAGCTATTGAATCAAACTCCTTAATTACTTCCAAGTTCTCTAAGAAAAGGCTATGTATGTAATATCTGAAAAAACTAAAATACTAGTTGAAATTTGAACTCAGACTATCAATACAATCTTTTAGTTACAACCACTACACGGACAATCAAGAAAGTCTAAAACATATGTGTAAAAAGAAGATCTCTCATAAAAAGAATTTTTTTATAAGTGAACTACAAAATCAATTCTCCCTATTTTATCGTATTATAATACGATAAACTTAATGTTTAGCATTAGTTGGTCTCACTAAAATTTGTCTATCCCAATTCCATCTCTTATTGCTTCATATGCATTTCGTGGACGTGTTCTCCTCAATCCAGCAGTGAAATGAATCTCTGTTTGTTCAAACAAAATAACACTAACTGTTATAAAAAGGAACATCACTTTTGTTTTCATTCCTTCTATTTCATCTAACTTTCCCTTCTCTATATGTGCACTAACTGTATTGTTGAATCGTACTATCGATGCATCTCTGTATGTAATTTCACATATCTCAGGTAGATGGACAGTAAGTTTCTTTGTCCCTTCGTTAAACTCGTAGTTTGTTGCTTCGCGAGGGAAAATGCCCGCTGGAATTTCATACTCCTTTAGTAGCTCTGGTAATGGCCTTTGTGTTTTTCCTACAAAATCAACGGATGATATCAACATCCTTAAGTATGTGTACAAAATAATATAACTATGTAACTAAAACTATAGTATGTAACTTTAAATTTTAGATGAGATAGTCAAAAATTTCAAAATTGTAGCAGAACAATAAGGGGATACCGAGGGAGTTTGAAGGGGGAGGTAAAGAAATAATTCAGTAAATAAAATGTACACTGGCTAATAATTTAAACTCTTAGATGAGATGTTCACTAACCTTTCATTTTGTTCACGAGCTTTTTGGTTCCTCCAGTAATACTGTTTTGCAAGTTCTAATTTTGAAGGGGAAAAAAGGTCAGAATGAAGAAAATAAAACAAAAAAGAAGAATTCCATGTAGCCACAACTATATAGACGATGGTAACATTATTGTTTAAGATGACTATCCATTTGGTTCCTCCAACAATTTATGTGCTTTACTACCATGTTTTAAAAAAAAAAACAAATTATTGTCAATGCCAACAAAGACATCTGTATTAGAATCTTGATAGATAGATCAATGAATTTCGAATATCAAATAATTATAAATAATAAAACTCAACAAAGTACCATATTCCCAATTCTCATATCCCCATCTTGTTTCTCCTCAATTCTGTTATTCTCATGTGTAAGTAAATAATTTTTTCCCCTCCAAATTAGATTACAAGAAAGAAACTAGATCACAAAAAACTCTAGAACAAAAATGCATGCTATTAAAGAAAAAAACAAATTTTCATATGAATTCTATATATATTTATAGAACCTCTAAAAGACAATAATAAAATTCAATCTTCATTACCAAATCATAAATTAAACAAATCTAAATAATCAAATAAATAAAACGTAAAAAAGAAAATTGCGTACGTTAAGATCATTGGTGACGGAATTGAATTCCTTGCCAGCTTTCTGACCAATCAAATACGAACCTGCCTTGTTCATCACCATATCCATCGCTAATTTTTATTATTATGTTGTCTAATCTCTTTATTTCTTTTTCTTCGAATTGGATCTACACAATTTTTTCGATACTTTTTTATCTCTTTTTTCTTTGGAAAAAGTTAAATATCTATGGATTAAAAATCATTAATGATTTCGTATTTAGAAATTATAGAATTCTTATTTTTGTCTTCTCTTAGCACAATTGAGAAAGAAAAGGGGGAGGGTGTATGAGCAAGAATTTTCGGTAGCTAATTATGATATAACCAATCCTTTTCTAGCGGATTGAACTAAATATGAGGATCAAAATTCATATTAACATTTTTTAATATGTTAAATAACCTTCGAACTATCGTAAATGGTATGCAGATACCCTCCTTCATACTTTTGGGACATAGGTGCTCCTACCGTCCAAAAACTAGAGCATATATACTCTAACGGAAGACTAAATAGGGACAAGTGGTACAATCTTAACCGTCGATCCGATATTTAATAAATGTTGGATCGGTGGATAAGATTATGACACGTGTATGTCCGTTAGTATAAAGGGTATATATGCTCTAGTTTTTGGACGGTAGGAGCACCTATGTCCCAAAAGTATGAAGGAGGGTATCTGCATACCATTTACGATAGTTCGAAGGTTATTTAACATATTAAAAAATGTTAATATGAATTTTGATCCTCATATTTAGTTCAATCCGCTAGAAAAGGATTGGTTATATCATAATTAGCTACCGAAAATTCTTGCTCATACACCCTCCCCCTTTTCTTTCTCAATTGTGCTAAGAGAAGACAAAAATAAGAATTCTATAATTTCTAAATACGAAATCATTAATGATTTTTAATCCATAGATATTTAACTTTTTCCAAAGAAAAAAGAGATAAAAAAGTATCGAAAAAATTGTGTAGATCCAATTCGAAGAAAAAGAAATAAAGAGATTAGACAACATAATAATAAAAATTAGCGATGGATATGGTGATGAACAAGGCAGGTTCGTATTTGATTGGTCAGAAAGCTGGCAAGGAATTCAATTCCGTCACCAATGATCTTAACGTACGCAATTTTCTTTTTTACGTTTTATTGATTTACGATAGTTCGGAGCATATTTGTCCTTTTTCCCTTACAAAAATGCAAGAGTAGAAAAAACTTCTTGAACAATCAAATACAGAAGCATTAGCAGCTCATGACATGAAATAATCATATTTCTCCCTTTACATGATCTTTTATGTAGGCACTACAAATTTCAATGACTTTGCTTCCATGCTCTTTTTCCTACAAAAGCAAAACAATAATAAAACCAAACAAATAAATAAGTAAAGCAATAGAATTTGAAATATCTCCCATCAAACACCTAATTTAACTTCCCAATCCTGCCTATGCTATGCTTCGCCCCAAAAATTTCTTCACTCTATAGATCCGTTGCAACGCAATTCTTTTTGGGCCTCTACCTAACAAAATGGAGAATTTTCGTAAATAGCCATTAAAATAAATTTAGTTATGTTCTATTGCTATAGTTTGCATGTTTACGGTGTAGTTACAGTTTAAGCTGCATCATTTGTATAATTCACGGTTTTGTATAATTCGTGATTTGTATAATTCGCAGGTGAGTTTGTATAATTTGCGGGTACGTTTGTATAATTGAGTTATTTTTGTATAAACTCGAAATAACGAATTTATACACACACAAACATCTGAACTTTAAACAGTTATACAAATTATATTATACAAAATAACAATATACAAAAGTTATACAAATTACATTATACACATTCTAAATTATACAAACTCAAAATCCCATCCCACGTAATTATCACTGAATGTTGGTTGTGAATGGTAATTAACTAAAACTATAGCTATGATGACTAATTAACTAATATATGTTTGCTTAACCATGTAATTTTTCCTAAAATAAAATAGTCATGTAAATAAATAAAAAAACGTAATCACCTTTTTAATTGGGAAAATTGTGGAGTCTTAGGCATTCGAAAAGTCTTTGGAGAAAATATTGTCATGTTTAGCCAGTCTTAATTGATAACTTTCCATGCCACTACTTCCCTCTAAGTGCAACTAGCTAGTACTCTTTATGTCAGTTTATTTGACCCTAACTTAAGTTGTTTGACAAAAAATACTGATATATATTCTCATTAAAGTTATCGTTTCATAACCATTTATTTTTATTCATATATATTAAAATAAAGATGACAGTTTCTATTTTATTAAAGAATCAATGACTAAGTAAGTACATAATTTATACTTTTTCGTTGTCTTCCTATATTTTTTTAAGGTTTGTGTCTAGTCAAATTACATCATATAAATTGAGTCGGAGGGAGTATAAATTTAGCAAGATGATAATTAGCAAGTTAATCTTTTCATAATACTTTGTTATATGAGAAACTCGTGTGAAATTATGCACATACAAAAAAAATAAATAGACCATAGAAATATTTTTGAAATTGTTTGATTGAGTCTAAATTTGTGATTTTAAATATATTATTAGCATTAATATGATTATAAGAACATATTACTAAATTTAAAATTAAAAGATAAAATTAAATTACTTTTAAATATAAGAACTTCCCGCTTTTTAAGACATGAGAAAAAAAAAAGTTACACATAATCCAATGTGAAATAACGATCACACAAACAAAATAATTAAGAAAAAATAAAAGAAGAAACACATTTTATTAAGTGGTGAGTGGGGGATTTGGCCAATAAGGTATGTTCTATAAGATTGATTAAATGAAGACTTTGAAATGGTCATTTAGATGACAATATCAATAAATTCGTCAGCCTTATCATTTGAAAAGCCAACTCTCACGTCAACTATAAATAGTGAGGTCATTCATTTGTTTTGGGTACAAGAAAATATTGAGTGTATAAAAGTTTGTCAAAAAGAGAATATTTATTTGTTGAAAGGAGGAAATTTTTTTGTGGAGCTTTGGATTCAACTCTTGTCCAGTATTTGTTGAGTTATTCTTTGTAATTAGGTTGTTGTATTCTGGAGGGGACGATTCAAGAGGACTACTGTTGGACGGTTGAAAACATTTACTGCAGTGGGTTTGAATCTCCTTAAAGAGAGTGAGATATCTGCGCCACATCCTGAAGATATTTTTATTTCTTCGTTTTATTTTCAATTGTAATCTTGTAATTTTCACCAACAATTTTAAGGAGAAATGGCTACAATTGAAAAACTCACGAATGTCAAGATGGGAGATATTAACAAGCCATTTCGGTTCAATTGTAACCATTACAAGAGAAGGAAGGGTAAAGTATTTTTCTACTTAAGTCTTCTCAATGTTTCTTATGTGTTAACAGAGAAAAATTCTAATGAAGTTGATTACACCTCCATAAATGATGATGAACTTATTTCGCATCATGAGAAAGTGAAAAAGTACGATGGTGATTCCTACAAGTGTTGGTCATATATTCTTAATTGTTATGATAGAACTTACTCTAGTTCAAAGAAAATTCAAAAAGCATTGTAGAGTAAGTATCATATCGAAGAGGCTGGAGCGAAAACATATGTGGCTAGTAAGTTTTTTTCATTTTCAAATGGTGGACAACAAATCAGTGGTAGATCAAGCTCAAGACTTAATAATGATTATTGGAGAGCTTAGGTCCGAAGAGATCAAAATATGAGATAACCTTATTGTTTGTAGTATAATAGATAAACTTCTACTTTCTTGAAAGTAATTTCAAAAAACTATGTGCCACAAACAAAAGGAAACCTTTCTTGAAACATTGATAATAAAAATCTGCATGGAAGAGGAGGCAATGGGCCAAGATGCACTTTTACAATAAGAAGAGAGCAACAACACAATGAAGGTAAATTTAATTACTTCAAGTAATGCTACTCCTGAATCTCACAAAAACACTTCTATGAAGCCTAAGAAGAAATTTTTTAAGAAAGATAATGGTAGACCTCCCAACAAAAATAGTGATGGAAATAACCAAGCAGAAAAATCAACAAGTTCAAGATAAGGGACCATGCTTTGTTTGTGGCAAGAGTGGACATATTGCTTGATTTTGTAAATTCCAAAAATGTGGTCCTATACCTTAGGCAAATGTTACCGAATAAGAACCTTTTGTGGTAGTGATTAATGACATAAACATGATTGAGAATGTTGATGGATGGTGGGCTAATTCTGGTGCAAACCGTCATGTCTGTTATGACACAGATTGATTTAAAAAATATACTCCTTTTGAGGAGTCTAAAACCATCATGCTTGGTGATTCTCACACGACTCAAGTGCTTGGAATGGGAGATGTCGAATTGTGTTTTACCTCTGAAAATGTGTTAACTTTGAAAGATATGCTTTATACTCTTTCCATGATTTGATTTTTTTATGTCTAGTTTTTTTCTTAATAAAGCACTCTTTAAACAGAATATTGAATCTGATCAACATGTATGTCACGACCCGAGCCTACACCCTGGACGTGGCTGGCACTTGAAGACCATTGCTGGTCCCCAAGCGAACCCTCATCCTGGCTGACTACAAGCGGAAAAATGATTCAAGCATACAAAGCTTAAAAACTGAAATAAAAGTTCATAAAACTTAAATTAAAACTTTAACTCAAATGAAAACTCTGAATAATAAAATATATTCAACTCGCCTCAAAATTGGCAACTTAAGTCTTTGAAATATTTAATAAAATAAATAAATAATACAGACTTCTCAACTATACTGACTATCTATGAAGCCTCTAACTGATAAAGATGGAACTTGGGACAAGACCCACGACATCCTAACAACTGGTATAACTGAAAGGTAAATGGATCCACGACGTCCTGACTAAACTGAAAAGTAAATGAAATCCTCCAGAAACAGGGAGGCTCACCATAGCTAACTTGAACTCTCGGATGTATCAACAAAGCTCTTGTTGATGATCCTGAATACCTGTGTCTGCATCATGAGAAGATGCAAGACAAATGGCTCAGTACGTGGAATGTACGAGCATGTAAGGGGAATTCTAAAACATAAACATAAGCTTGAAACTTGATAAAAAGGAAACA